GCTGAAATTCAGAGCCAGGGATATGTAACTTGGAGCATTAGACAAGGTGCACTTGCAGACAGCAGCATCTGTGCATGCTATTACTCATGTAATAGCAGGCACAAATAACCCACTGAAAGTCTCCAAGAGTGAATCCATTTCATGAGAAGCAGGGCCTGACTCACAGCTACGTTGTCAGAATCAAGTAGTCTTGCCAGCACGTCAGTCACTCCACTGCTGCTAGTACAGATTTGTAAGCAGTTACTTAGCTTACTAGTTGCTTAGTGTGAGATCGTGTGTAGCAAGTGGGATTTCAGAGATTCATTTTTCAAAAGCGTTTTTCTCCTTTGAGCTTTCTCTCTCTGTCACTGCTTTTGATTATACTTCCAAAGTGTCTACACATCGCTGTGTTTTCAATACTTTGTCTTTCTGGCCTTTGTTTGTAGGAGGTTCATAACGTCACACTTGATAAATCGAGAAAGCCGCTTCATTGGATATGGGATTCAGACTTACCTTTGGAGTGTATGTCACACTCGGTGAGAATCAGGAGCAAAGCAGAAGCATCAGAAATCTGGAGTCAGTGGAGTCTGTGGGAGACTGTCCTGGGTAAGCAAAACATGACTTTGCAATATTGGTTTTATTTTTTCCAGTACAAAGCTAGATTGGAATTCACCGGTGACTGTAACAGTGAAGTCAGATTCAGGAGAGATGGCATCAAATCAAGAATCCATTTTGAACTCTTTCATCTCTAATCACTAAGCAACTTTTTTTTTTGCTGGCAATAATAGCAATGCTTCAGCCATTGTTTTAATTTGCAGCTATCTTCCTAAGCTAGTAGACCAAAACTTATAGAGCTTTTCTTGCTCACACATCAAAACAATGCAGTACATAGAGTGGCATGGGATCTTGGATAGGTTCTAGCATAGCCTGTCACCAGGTCAGATGCAGCCCTGGCCCAGGCTGGGGGAGAGAAGAGGAAGTGCATAGCTATGGCTACATCATCTGATGCATGTGTTGCTTTTGTCTTGGGTTCATAGCTTTGATTAGTATTAAGGAAGCAGAGAGAGAGGAGCAAGTCAGCCCCTTATGTCACTTGGAATGAACTTCCGTGAATGATGAGAGTAAACAGGGAGTGAACCAATAATGTAATTAATGCTATCACAAAAACCTTTTTTTTTTTTCAGATTACAATGTCTTACTACAACAGTTTGGTTTCCAGAGAATTTGGTTTAAACAAAATACGTAACTGCGTTAGAAAAAAATGACTAAAGTGATTTTGTAAAGAAACACTATTCTTGTATGGAGCAGCAAGGGCTTTTAGTTATGGGAGGCATCACGGGTAGTAGAAGCATCACAGGTCTGTATACTTGGATTGTGGCACATAAATTGCCCATCTCCTTCACCTTATATAATGGGAAGTAGCATGCAAGACTCCCTTTCTTTCTCACTAACCTCAAATCTTCGAGATCTTATTTTTTCAACTGGAATTGTATAGGGATCAAAAATACTATTTCTTTGTCACAAACTGATTCTGCATTACAGACCTGAAAGATAGTGACTCTAGACTTCATCAGATTTTTGGATCAGATTCTTGAGAGTAGATTTTATCTCCAACCTGTGCAAAAGCTTGTGAGTCTCTTAAATCCCACTAATTTTTGCATCCAGCAAGGAGTCCAGCATTGAAAGCCACAGGAGTCTCATTCCAAGTTAAGTATCCCCTTACTGATCTGATTCAATCAATGTTGGCTCCTCTTAGCTGACCTCTGCATGAGCTTCAGAACATGACGTTTTTCTAGCCCGCTGCTCATAATCTTCAAGAGCAGGCATTTTGGCTGTAAGCCTCAACCTGCTCATAGGTGCAGGTGGTAGTGTTCATCTGTAAAGGCAGTTCTTTAATGCACACTCTTTGTTTCCCCTAAGTGAAGGGCAGTGAGATGGATTTAGTCTCTTAGGTAGTTTGTTGGACTACATTATATGTTCATGGGTTTAAGAGAAATATAGGTATGATTACACATGAAGTTGATCTCTGTATGGGGAAGAATACTAAATAAAAGTCCATGAATGTATAATATAACATTAGCAGATTCTTGTGTAAATGCTCAGTTATGTGTTCTGGTTGAAGATTGCTTCCATGAACAGATTTTGAAATGGTTTATTATGTATTAATTTGCAGGCCTGGACACTTCAAATAGCAGTGGACCACAAATCTTCCCAAGTGAAAAAATTGTAGAGGAAGGCTCAGACATCACTCTTTGTTGCATTGGAAGGAAAGGCCAAATCATTAAGGAATTCTTTCTAGTCCCAGCTGTTCATGTTTTCAATCACACAAACAGTCAAGTCGGACTTCTCACTGTGAAAAATGTGGCATATCAAAAAGTGCCTCACATCACTGTCTACTGTCAAGAGTCTTGCAATGAAAAGCAATGCTATGATCAAGCAGTGTTGTTTGTGGGTAGTAAGTGAATGCTTTATTACAGTTCTATTTTCCTGTTGTTATTAAGTCAAGAATGGCTGTGGGGAATGGGGGGAGAAAAAAAAAGCTTGCTGTAAGTTGTCATTGTCCTGTCATGTCCAGCTGAACGCTGTTTAATGTCTGACTTCAGATCTGTACACTTGCATATAGAAAGCATTAAAGAATAGCATTAAATGTGTTCAGACTAATCTCATTAATTGATCCTAGGACAGGTGACAGATTTTTAAATATACCTACCCATTTAGGAGTTCAGCTTCATAGTCTGTGTGCATGTGGTAAAAACCGAGCACAGTCCCCATTTTGAAGGCTAGTAGCAATTTTTGCAGATTGAAAACAATACAGATTAAATTAATGAATGTATGAATATAACAAGAAATAATGACATACAGAAGTGTTTGGATTGCAATTAATTTATGCTGGTACCCTGATTTTCTCTGCAGAGTGGTCATTGAAGAAGTATAATTGAAATAATAACATCTGTAGTAAACCAGACTTTGTACATATCCGTTATTTCTAGTTTGTTAATATAGTAAAAAGGTTGATGACTTTTGCCTTGACTGCCATGCTGTTGGTGTTTTTTTGGTTATTCTCTCTGACAAGAACCACCTGATACACCTAATGATTTTTCCTGCCAAACTCAAGACCTGAGAATAGTAACATGTACTTGGAGCCAAGGAGGAGACACCTATCTTTATGGACGTCATTCACCAAAATACACCTTGTCTGAAGAGTAAGTCTCCTCATTGTTATATTAACTCTGGTCTGTGCTGTACAGAACAGTCACGTTCTTTCCTTTAAAATCTGTGGAAATGTTTTTTATCCTTGTTGCAATTAGCTGCCTGCCTCTTTCCAGCTCACCGATCAGCTTATTTAATAAAGTTTGAGCAGTGCAGAACTGCTCTGAATTAGACTACCTGTAACAAAGTTGTGGGTCCATCAGACCAGGTTCTGCTTGATAAAGCTTGTTCTAACCATTCTTTTGGGTTAATTTGTTTGGATATCTTTCAGTAGGTGTGAAGACACCCTGCAATCAGGCTATAGATAACTTAAAAGTATGATGTAATTATTGGGTAACACACACAACAGGTAACTAGGATTTAATCAGCTCGTAGGCTGAGTATTAATATGCTCACATTCATTGACACTAATGCTGACTCAAACTGATGATTCCTAGCTAACCCTCAGTTAGCCTGATGAGCCTCCCTAGTTCTCTTTCTTTAGGATTTTATAAGTTTACATGCTGATGTTTTCCTTCTTGAGTCCTTGAGCTACGACAATCTGTCGTGGTTTAACCTCAGCTGGCAACTAAGCACCACACAGCCGCTCGCTCACTCCCCCCTGGTGGGATGGTGGAGAGAATCGGAAGGGTAAAAGTGAGAAAACTCGTGGGTTGAGATAAAGACAGTTTAATAGGTAAAGCAAAAGCTGCGCACGCAAGCAAAGCAAAACCAGGAATTCATTCACTACTTCCCATAGGCAATGGGTGTTCAGCCATCTCCAGGAAAGCAGGGCTCCATCACGCGTAATGGTTACTTGGGAAGACAAACGCCATCACTCCAAACGTCCCCCCCCTCTTCTTTTTCCCCCAGCTTTATATGCTGAGCACGACATCACATGGTGTGGAATGTCCCTTTGGCCAGTTTGGGTCAGCTGTCGTGGCTGTGCCCCCCTCCTAGCCCCCTGTGCCCCTCCAGCCTTCTCAGTTGGCAGAGCATGGGAAGCTGAAAAGTCCTTGACTAGTGTAAGCATTACTTAGCAACAACTAAAACATTGGTGTGTTATCAACTTTGTTCTTGTCCTAAATCCAAAACACAGCACTGTACCAGCTACTAAGAAGGAAATTAACTCTATCCCTGCCGAAAGCATGACACAATCCTATCTCAAAAATCCTACTTCTGTCTATAATTTCAGCTTTTTTTTTTTTTTTTGGTAAAATCTCTCTGCAGACTTTCTCACAGCTCTTTCTTAGCAGTGTAAGTCAAGGTTACACAGCTGTGGCATATCAGACCTGGCCCTTGGCTCCTTGCTACAGAGGCATCTAAATGGAGAGCAGAGGGGCTTTACAGCAGGGCCTGCAGAGAAAGGGGAGCTCATAAAACAGGACAGATACCTCATCATCACAAGAAACTTTCATCAAAAGATCTCAGCAGAAGGCAGGTCATATTGTGTATACCTTCACGGTTTCTGCATCATTCACTTCCATTAAGATATTATGATGGTGATTTAAAAATGGAAGGTTAGAAAATGCACTTGAAATTACTGCTTCATTTAAAAGCATAACGGTAGATGTGAATGGTTTAATTCTTTGCAAATAAGTCCCTAGTTTAGAATTTCTATGAGGAAGTAACTAAAAGCAATTTAGCTATATCTTAAAAGGATAAAGTAAACTCAGCTGTATCTTAAAAGGATAAAGTAAACTTAGACTTTGAAGAAAACTTTCTTCTGATTGTAAGAATACCTGTATTCATCCTACTTCAGGCTAGAGGAAAGAAGTGGGTGGCTTCTTATAGTCCCGCTCAGCCTTATTTTTTATGATGCTGTATTCTAGTTGGGCATCAAAAATTTCAACACCTATATTGATTGTACATTATGGAAAAATGTCTTTCTCTCTTTTCTCCCCCTTCCCCCCCTCCTTCTTTGACAGGTTTTCCCAAAAAATGGTTCCATGCACAGTAAGTTGTTCTGAACAGTGCTCGTGTTCTTGGGATATAGGCCAGCAGAGGATCTGTAATATTACAGTGACTGTGGAAAACCCACTGGGAAAGAAAACTGCCAGGGATGTTTTTGATGTAACTCACAGAAGTAAGGTCTTTTCTATGTCTTTGCTGAGGGTTTTTTGTTGCAGGCCTTGTCCTCCTTCTGATCTTAATACTCGAGTGCCCCAGTTTAAAGTATGGAAGTCCTTGATTTTTATCTTCACAGTTTTTATTAGTTATCTGTTCCTGTGCTATAGTTATCTGCTCTTTTCAGTTTCAGCTCTGCAAAGTTGTGTTAATGGTAGAAAACAGCTTCACTCCAAAGGTCAGATTTGGTTATTGAAATGACCCCTTAATCCTTCAAAATCTGCTGCTTTCCTGAAGCTGGTTCATAGTATATATAGGAAGCGACATGATACAAGGATATAAAATGGGGAGTTCAAGAAAAATATCTGTGTAGGTTACTTGGGAATTCAGTTCTTTCTCAAAAATGTTACTGCTGATGTTACTGTCTTTCCAAAATAAAATGGAGATGCACATTTTGAAAAATGTGTAAATACAATTACTAACACCTCTCCAAATGAGATGTGATACAGGTGTAAGCAGCTATTGCCAGGAAACAGGTGATAGTGCTAACCTGTCTTGGTGCTAATAAGGGACAGTAACATCTGTTGTGCTACTGTAAAGGGAGGAAGAGTAGTTCATCATCAGTGAAATAAAACAGGTTATTCTGTGAGCAGTAACTGGTGGCTGTGGTTCCTTCTTCCCTATTAGTTGTATCATTTATCACAGTGTGCCCTGAGTCTCATAAGTTCCTACCTACTGCTGCCTCAAAACACCTGGGTATTTCCTGTGTCTCCAGCAGTATTTCCAGTTCTCCTTGTGTCCTCTAGCCCCACCACATCCACCTCAGTGTTCCCAAGGTCCTGTGGCCGCCTTACCTGTTTGAAGAAGCAGGAGGCAACATGTGCTTTGTCTAGTTCTGAAGCTGACAGGCTGATGGATGGGTAGGCTGCTGGTGTAACTGCTGCATTCTGGCAGCGCTTCCTTCCTCAGAGGCACTGATTACAGTTTTGCTAGACATGTGTTTTCATATGACTTGTAGGAACATATGTTAAATGCCTGTCGCTGTTAAATTTGTCTCAGAGAGGCATGAGAGTTCTAAAAGTTGATTATTTGACTGTTTGGGGGTGGAAGAAATAGAGCAGGAAGAAAGTGGAGGAGTAAATTGACAGGTTGTAGTGAGACAACACAATATTATAAACTAAGTTTTCATGGGAAATCAGGCTAAATAGGTTACATTCAATGTGCTAAATACATTGAAGTTTTACTACAATTTTCTTTTTCCAGTTCTAGTGATTGTTACAAGTTAAAGAAATGAGATATAATATTTATGATGAGTTAAGCTTTCAAATAATGATTGCTGTAAAGTCCTTTATGTTTTCTCTGATCCTGGACATATTTACAGTAGAATTTTCCTTACTTAAAGGATGTCAGCAAATAAAGGAGAACTGAAGTCTGTTGCTTCCAATTCTGCACATGGTGGCTGGGACCTTCTGTATCAAACACAAGCTCCTTTGAGTCTGGAAGTCCTCAAATTGTAATTCATGGTCCATAAAGTTCTAGGATAATGGCCAATACCACTCACTCACATTGCCATGTCTTATTCCTTACAATTGGACTGATAATATGGGAGAGATCTGCTGCTCTCGCTGAATAGTGCTTAGACAGCAGTAAATGATCTCAGAAATGTTTTGGAAGAGGTAGCATTGGGACCGTCTACCAGAGGGTGACTACTGGCAGGAGTCAATGTAAGAGTTGTGAATAAAATTTCTGGTGAACAGGGTAGATTCTAGGGTGTAGAAATGTGGCAAACGTTACTCACCATGCTACATCAGGAGCCTCTGCCAGGCCCTGGATTAGAGAATTTTACTGGATTTGCAATGAAGGTCTCTGACTCTTTCTTTTGTTCATGATGTTCTAAAATATTTCCAAGTCAGCACAAGCAGTTTTTTTAATCTTGTATAACATTTACATTCTGAAACTAATTTTTACTAATTTGTATCCACTTCAAGGCCAGGTTGGATGGGGCTTTGAGCAACCTGGTCTAGTGGAAGGTGTCCCTGCCCATGGCAGGGGGTTGGACTAGATGATCTTTAAGGTCCCTTCCAACCCAAACCATTCTATGATTCTCCTAGAATGGCAGAAAAATCTGTATTTCTTACTTGCTTTTACTACTCAGCTAAAATACCTTAAAATACTTTTGTGTATATTTTATGTTTTACAAGAACTAACTCAGATTTTCCACTGGCAGTTTATCCCACTGCACCTTTCCAGCTGTGGGAAGAATGCACAGATACAGAAATCACATTATATTGGAAACATCGAAACAAAGGAATTGAACTGTTTTGTCAGACTGAAGTGCTCCAACCCAACGGGAAAGTAGAACTGGTATGAAACCTGAATTTCATACACAAAAACATACTAAGTATCTTTTTGATGTGAGATTAAAAAATAATTCCCCAGCAATATGAATACACTATAAATCTTGTGAGCGTGTTGATGTGTCTGTTTTCTGGATTTGTTTGCTCCCAAGCTCTACACTGATGATGTGGTCCATGTGAGCAGCCATTGCTGGCACTAATTCATACTCCCAACACTTCCTATCGTGCTGGTCTGAGTGTACGGGGTGACTGGTCTGCATATGTGGCTCTGTCCTCTGCTGGATGGGTTCTGAGATTTGTTAAAGTAAATTAAAATACTTATGGGCCTTATAATTGCTGTTAGCTATTGCTCATCTTGATTTGTCAAGTTTTTATTACTCATACCATCTTACACACAAATGGTGGGGAGGTGTGTTGAAGGCTTTTTTTATAGTAGTCCAGGAGCTTTCTGTGTACTACTGAATATATTTAATGGTAGTGTGTCTGGTTTCTAGTGAGGGAACCCCAGAACAGCTTTTCTTCCCATCCTCTTCCATCTCCTTGAAGATTATTTGAGTAGACACCTTGTCTTGTTCCACCTCTTTCCCAAACAGTGAGGCTGACTGACTCTGCATGCATACTGTGGTTTCTCTGTAGCCCTTTTCTTGCGAAGGCAGCTTGCCTCTAGCATATTAAAAAGGCATTATGAAGATCAGGATCAAGCTGCGTTCTGTCTTAAGTATTGCTGGATGCTCACAAGTCTATGGGGCCGGATGGGGTCCACCCAAGGGTGCCGAGAGAGCTGGCAGAGGAGCTCGCCAAGCCGCTCTCCATCATCTATCAGCAGTCCTGGTTAACGGGGGAGGTCCCGGACGACTGGAGGCTGGCCAATGTGACGCCCATCTACAAGAAGGGCTAGAAGGAGGATCCGGGGAACTACAGGCCTGTCAGCCTGACCTCGGTGCCGGGGAAGATTATGGAGCAGTTCATCTTGAGGGCGCTCACAAGGCAGGTGTGGGAAAACCAGGGGATCAGGCCCAGCCAGCACGGGTTCATGAAAGGCAGGTCCTGCTTGACCAACCTGATCTCCTTCTATGACAAGGTGACCCGCCTAGTGGACGTGGATGTGGTCTACCTGGACTTCAGTAAGGCCTTTGACACTGTCTCCCACAGCATTCTCCTAGAGAAGCTGG